CGGTCGGCCTCGAAGAGATTCTGGCAAACCATCCGACGCCTCAGGAGGGGGAAGCAGTTCTTTGCCAACACCATGTACGGTGCGTGTGGAGAGCTGCTGACCTCGACTGGGGATATTGTCGGGCGGTGGAAGGAATACTTTGAGGTTCTCCTCAATCCCCCCGTCACGTCCTCCGTTACAGAGGCAGAGGCTGAGGTTGTTGGGGCGGGTACATCCATCTCCCTGGCTGAGGTCACCAAGGTGGTTGGTAGCCTCCATGGTGGCAAGGCTCCGAGTGTGGATGAGATCCGCCCTGACTATCTAAAGTCTCTGGATGTTGTAGGACTGTCTTGGCTGACACGTCTCTGCAACATCGCGTGGCGATCGGGGGCAGTGCCAATGGAGTGGCAGACCGGGGTGGTGGTCCCTCTCTACAAGAAGGGGGACCGGAGGGTGTGTTCCAATTATCGTGGGATCACACTCCTCAGCCTCCCCGGTAAGGTCTACTCCAAGGTACTGGAGAGGAGGTTACGGCCGATGGTCGAATCTCGGATCCAGGAGGAGCAGTGTGGTTTTCGTCCCGGTCGCGGAACACTGGACCAGCTCTATACTCTCCATCGGATACTCGAGGGTTCATGGGAGTTCGCCCAACCTGTCCACATGTGCTTTGTGGATTTGGAGAAGGCGTTCGACTGTGTTCCCCGGGGTGTCCTTTGGGGGGTTCTCCGGGAGTACGGGGTCGGAGGTCCTCTGCTGAGGGCCATCCGATCCCTGTATGACCGGAGCCAGAGCTGTGTTCGCATTGCCGGCAGTAAGTCAGACCTGTTCCCGGTGAATGTTGGCCTCCGACAGGGCTGCCCTTTGTCACCGGTTCTGTTCACTGTATTTATGGACAGAATATCTAGGCGCAGCCAGGGGTCGGAGGGGGTCCGGTTCGGAGACCACAGGATTTCATCTCTGCTGTTTGGACGATGTTGTCCTGTTGGCTCCAACGAACCAGGACCTGCAGCATGCACTGGGGCGGTTTGCAGCCGAGTGTGAAGCGGCTGGGATGAGAATCAGCACCTCCAAATCCGAGGCCATGGTGCTCGACCGGAAAAAGGTGCCTTGCCCTCTGCAGGTGGGTGGAGAGGTCCTTCCTCAAGTGGAGGAGTTCAAGTATCTCGGGGTCTTGTTCACGAGTGAGGGAAGAATGGAGCGTGAGATTGACAGGCGGATCGGTGCAGCGTGCGCAGTTATGCGGTCGCTGTATCGGACCGTTGTGGTGAAGAGGGAGCTGAGCCGAAAGGCAAAGCTCTCGATTTACCGGTCAATCTTCGTTCCCTCCCTCACCTATGGTCATGAGCTTTGGGTAATGACCGAAAGAACGAGATCGCGGATACAAGCGGTCGAAATGAGCTTCCTCCGCAGAGTGGCTGGGCGCTCCCTTAGAGATAGGGTGAGGAGCTCAGTCACACGGGAGGAGCTCGGAGTAGAGCCGCTGCTTCTCCACGTCGAGAGGAACCAGTTGAGGTGGCTCGGGCATCTGTTCCGGATGCCTCCTGGACGCCTCCCTGGGGAGGTGTTCCGGGCACGTCCCACCGGGAGGAGGCCCCGCGGAAGACCCAGGACACGCTGGAGGGACTATGTCTCTCAGCTGGCCTGGGAACGCCTTGGGGTCCCCCCGGATGAGCTGGAGGAAGTGTGTGTGGATAGGGAAGTCTGGGCGTCTCTGCTTAGACTGCTGCCCCCGCGACCCGGCAACGGATAAAGCGGAAGAAAATGGATGGATGGATGGATGGATGTATTTATTGGGTGCACAAATTACGAAAATACATGCATGGTCCTGTGCGCGTTTATGGTCTTGGGTACATGGTCACATTGCGGCTACGCGCTCACCGTGTTGTGTTGTGAGCGGCTCCCGGTGAGCGGCTCCTGCGTCCAGCTCAGAGCCGCTGGATGCGGGAACACTGCGGCCGCTGAGGTGGTGGAATCCCTTTCGAGTACATACAGCAGGTGCCCCGCGGACACGCGCGCTCCCCTCAAACATTTCTCAACGGATTTACACTTTTCACAAACATGTTTTTTGTATGAGGCAGACAGACCGGCCCAAATATGGGCATCGGCCCTTCGGGCATTGCCCGGTACGCCCGATGGCCAGTCCAGCCCTGCTCTGACTTTATGATGAATGAGTCTTTCAGTGAACAGTGTTTAAAGCTTCATTGTTCCTCCTGTTGCAACAAAACTTTTCATTACAAACATGAAGCAGTACTTCCTCATTGACTGAAAGCAAATGTTCATTCTCATTCTTAGTCCAGTCTTATCGACTCTCTTTATCTTTGGGATCCATGCGCACACACAGTCTATAATGTTTGTTTACAGCAGCGGCCGCCCGGCACGGGCCGCGTCACAGGATATGACGCACTACGTTGACAGAAATGCTAAAATTTAATATTACTTATACGAGTTTTTGCAGCATTGAAAAACGTCAAGAATGTTTTTCCTCCTACAGAAACCACATTCAAACTAGAAATAAAATATAGCCCTCACACTCCAATTTCAGACATTTTTGGAAAGGCTCCAGGAGCCACTTTAGGGGCACTAAAGGTTGCCGACCCCTGGTTTATACAGTATGTGGAAGCAAATACTGTAGAGGATCAGGATGTCTGCAGTTTCATCAATAAAATAAAGTACAATAGTCTACATTAAACAGAGTAATAAACATGTCTCAGAGTGAGGGAGGTGGGCACAGGCAATACTATTGTTTGTTACAAGGATGAGAATTGGTAAACATTTCTGAAATGCATATTGTCAGTCATTAGCTGGCTCTAAATCTGTTTAATCTGTTCACAACATTTTACTTTTGGGCTCAAACATGAACTTTTAATGCAATGGAAAATTTAGGTACCCGAGCTTTAATTTAGAGGAGAGGGGAGACGCGGGCTGTTTTCTGCAGCGGTGTATTTATTGGGTGCACAAATTACGAAAAGACACGCATGGTCCTGTGCGCGTTTATGGTCTTGGGTACATGGTCACGTTGCGGCTACGCGCTCACCGTGTTGTGTTGTGAGCGGTTATATAGACGGTATATAAATAAAGCTTACTTACTTACTTACTTACTTCCTGCGTCCAGCTCAGAGCCGCTGGATGTGGGAACACTGCGGCCGCTAAGGCGGTGGAATCCCGTTCGAGTACATACAGCAGGTGCTCCGCGGACACGCGCGCTCTCCTCAAACATTTCTCAACGGATTTACACTTTTCACAAACATGTTTTTTGTATGAAGCAGACAGACCGGCCCAAATATGGGCATCGGCCCTTCGGGCATTGCCCGGTACGCCCGATGGCCAGTCCAGCCCTGGTCTAAGGACATTGACAATACAGAACATTTATGGACATCGGCCATCCCCTCCCTATGGACCAATGGCTCCTATGTGTTTGTAATTAATGCATTTACTGTGCTTGATTCTCTGATTTGCCGTTGAGGAATTGACAACTTTGTAAGTGCTCCGAGACGACTGCTGTTGATACAAAACTAAATGGAATTGAATTATTTGCAATATTGAGACATTATATCCAAGTTAAGGAGATTTCGCTTCATAGACATGCAGGACTCATAGTGTAGTAGTATGTTATTTAGCAGTAAACTAATTAAACTTCTAATGAAAATGCCCTTTTTCATTACCGCTAATATACTTAACCATTGGCTATTTGCGGCTGGCGACACCGGAAACTCTGTCTAGAACGTACAAAAGCCACAGCTAATCGCATTTCTCCGTTCCATTTCCTGGTTAGGCATGTGGGTAAACTGGTCATAATCGCGTTAGACAGAGAGAAGCCGGTTTTTCTGAAGGGTACGTTGTAGATCATAAAAGGGGTGCAAAATACTAATGGTAAATCCAATCATCAATTCAGGAGCAGACTGAAAAATGCACTGTCCTCTGAACGCATTGGAATCGCTCATCTCAATCGCTAACAGAGGATAGAGCTTTTAGAAGTATTTTGTTTTTATGGGTCAAAAAGGTTGATCATTTCAGGCATCAATTATTCGTATTTTTTACCATTACTCAAGTTGCATGCATGAATTGAATGCATTAATTGATTTCTTTAACTGTCATGGTTAAGGTTTATTTCCTGTTTTGTTTTGGCTTCTTTAGTTGTACTTCCTGTTGTCTGATTACCTGCCCTGCCTGTGTCTTTTTAGTCTTGTATTTAAACCCTGTGTATTCCTTCACTCCCGGTTCCGTCATTGTCATTGTCCATTTTATTGCTTTTTCAGTTATTATCTCTGGATTTTGTTTTGTATAACATTTCATTAAATCCATTATTTTTGCTGTTCTGCGTTTTGGGTCATTTTCCTTTTGCCCTCATGATAGTAACAGGAACAGGTATCGTTTCTAGAATAGCCAAGGAACGTCAACCCACATATGTAAAGCTGGGACACTTGACTTTTTCATCATAAGCAATGCAATACGTCAACTCTCAACAGAAAGAATAAAAGTACAAATATGTAAAGAAATCATACCACATGCTGAGTTCATTCAATTACAAAATATGTTCACGTTTTGCACAGAGAGTCGCGTGAGTCACTATTTAATGCTTTGGGCTGACAGCTGATTGGCTGAGTGAGGGGGGGTCCTCTTGTTTTAACTTTTCAGTCTGAAAAAGCTGATCTACAGATGTGACCGAGGCCAGAAATACATGCATGTGAGAACTAGGGATAGAAGCAAAATTGAGAACTTGCTTGGAACTTGTTAGATTCCTCAGGTACTGTATTTCTCTTTGTATTAGGTTTGAAAGTTAGGTACTGCAGCTTTAAGAGAGGGCGATATGAGTTGCATCATGCAGTTGTGTCATCGGGCAAAACACTTCACCAACTTTGTGAACAGGCCAATATAAGAACTTTAGTCAGTATTTTAAATGGCAGCCTTCAACACAGATGTATTGCAGTAGAATACAAAAAATATGTAAAAAAGTAATAATAAATCTATATAGTAAAGTATCAAGATATGCTAATGAGTGACAGCCAACAACTTATAGGCGACTACAGAGGTGCGAGACGGAATGCGGACGTGGATTCTGCAGCATCGTTAACGCTGGCAGAGGACCCAGAGTTACAGAGCTGCACACAAACTGGATCCCAGCTCACGGTCAGACCAGTGCCAGCCAAACCGCTATCTGATATTTTAAGTGAGGACTCAACATCCGTCAAGCTGCGCAGATCAAATTCATTGTCCCGCACTATGACTCCGCTGGGACCCAGGCGAATCCACTCCAGTCGGACATGATGGAAGAGCTGGAAGAATTCTCTGTATGAATGCATGTATCAATGCTCTGCTGTATATGGCATATTCCTGGAGAGATCTCGAGGCCACACAAGAAATATCACTATCTCTGAATGTAAAACGAACTCAGTGTTGTTATAGCAGTACTCGCACTGCTATAGTCCCTTTTAATTTAATTGTACATACATATTGCACAAAAGATACTATATTTTAACCTTTTTAACATGTTTTGCACACTTGAGTGATTCTCTCCATGCCAAATGTGACATGTACATGTCTTCATTGTGAGATCAATACAGTTTATCTTATATTAAAGCTGGGGTACTCTACTTTACAAGCATCCATCCATATAACTCATTTATGGCTCTAAAAACAGACTCCTTCTAACACTATATTTTGCAAATTTTTTTTGGCCTACGTCACATATTTGGATCAGCTTTTTCAGACGGATATATGAAAAAGAGAGGACCACCCTCACTCAGCCAATCAGCTGTCAGCCCAAAGTGTGAAATAGTGACTCACTGGGCTCTGTTTTAAGATATTTGATTCACTGGGCTGTTTCAAAAGATTACATTTTTTCTAACAACACGAAGACCGCAGGTTGTGGTATAATTTAAATGGAAACGATTATGTTCTAATTGTACATGTTCCCTTTTTAAATAAATTAAATAGATAAATAACTACTGAAAATCAAGTTAGGTACCCTAGCTTTAACAAAACCCTTTAGAACAAGTATCTCTAAGCATGTGTGTACCAGATTACAAAACATTCACTCACACCTGCTCTTTAACTAGAAGAGAAATTCTAGATTAAATTTCCAATATACAATACAGTACGATCACCAAAGAATAATGTAAACAAAGCAAAAAACGAATGACATCATAACTGAATCCAATTTCAATTTATACCACAAATTACAACTTTTGACAATGAAACATCAGAATCATAGCTAACATAGCATAGCAGCAGCTAGCATAACTCTGATTTGTTTGGCTGTAGCAGCACCTATGCCTCAAAATGCCAACTTAAAAGGGACAACACCACCATCCTTTACCAATTTCATCATTTCTCCAATGCCTCATCGCTCACGGCAACAATGATGGATTTGAAGATACGTACCAGCACTCTGCCCGTCAGCGTCTGCGCCGAAATCATGACGCCCGCCCAGTCCTTCACCGAGGTCATCCATCCCACCTCGCTCGCTGGTGGGGCCTCCTCCTTCTCGTCGGGGTTCTTGGCTGCTGTGGCTGCTTGCGTGGCCGGGTTTATCGCCTTATGTGTCTCCTGCAAAAAACAAAACAGACGGGGTAAGAGGTCGAGTGGTACTAGAATGTGTTTGTGACAACTTTTCTAATTGCATAAATGTGAGTGAGGACAGAGAGGACCATGAGACAATATCTAAATGAGAGGATTTCTACCCAATACAGATAGATAGATACTTTGTTGAGCCAAATTCAAAAATAAAATGGATCAAAGCTAACAATAGTAATGATAATCAGCCACAGCCCTTCAAGTCACAGCAGCAGAGATGGAGTAGTCTCTGGGATAGGTGAAAGGTGAAACTTCTTAGAGACAGGTGAAACTTGACTTAAAAATGAAAATAAAAAACTGTGAAATGTCAAACTAATATATGATAAAGATTCAACATGTGACATATGCCGAGCCTTTGATGACCTTTCTATAATGCATCGGTTTTATGTATTGCATTTTTTGGACACTCAAAGACGCTTCACGTGTCATTATTCTTTCACTTCATAGTGATGATAAACTACTGTAGCCACAGCTGCCCTGGGGCACACTGACCGAAGATCACAGAAGATTTTGAAGATCATGGCCGTTAGTCAATTAACACTACAATATATAAAGGTTGGACAAAGGCTCCCTTTGCCTGTAATGAGTCAAATATTAGTTTGACATTGTAAGTTGAATTACAGAAGTGAAGGGACTTTTGACGAGATTCAAAAGAACAACTGTAATTCTATTGCAGCTTTCAATACCCTGGGCCTGTGTTTGTTAAAAGTCTTGTTCAGATTAAGTATAACAAACTTCAAGAGAGTTCCTTTTGACATAATGAAGCAATTACCACATGCACAATTCTCACACGTTTCAGAAAGTTTATATTGTTCAAACATATGTTACAACCATATTCAGAAAGAAATAAAACACTGCAAATGTGTTATACATACATCAGCACACAGTAGTTTTATATTTTCTCACTAGTATATTCAGTCAAACCAACACCAACAAGTTGTGCAACACATTTTGACCACAAAAATTGCGTTTTTGTTTTGATTGAGATTAATGGAGAGCCAGGTTCAAACATCTTATGTATTTATTTATTTAAGGATAACCCCATTGAGATAAACTACCTCTTTTTCAAGGGGGTCCTTTATCATTTGCATTAATTTGTCCATCTGCATTTGGACAGTAGAAATGAAGACCTATCCTCCTTCTGAACTTGGAATGAGGGCATTTAGAAAGTATTCGCAGCATTTAGAGCCAAAACAAAGGGCGTCTGTAGGGGAGAAGATAGACGGTATAATTAAAGCGAGTCTTGAGCTGGTGGAACAGACAGTGGTGGCTGTAGGCAGGTCTGAGGCTCATTAGGAGAATTACAATGGGCGAACGTCAATTAATTTGAAGACGTCTTTGCACCATAGGGTTTGCTGTAAAACAAGCCATTTGTTCCACGGCTTGTTATATCGGCAGGAGGAGCCACGGGGTAAAAAGGTGAAACTGTGTGATGCGGGGTGTAATGTGAGTGGGGAAAATTACTGTTTGGGAGAATGAAGTAATTGTGAGAATCGTGGCTGTTTGTTTATTGTTTGAGAATGGAATTGTGCAGGTGTAATGCCACCCCTAGATAATTACACATTGTTTTGCTTTCCCTCAAGCATGGAAAATAGACATAATTAACAACCAACAGAGAAGTAAGTGGAAGTGTCTGATGAGTTTTTTGATTGTAAGTAACGGAAGAGAAGGAGAGAGATGGAGATGGAGGTAATGACGATAATGAAAACATTATAGTATTGTATCAGTAGTAACTACTACTATCATATCCATATTTGAATACATGTGGCGATTCAATAGTATTGTTTGAGCCACAATTCAAAATGATTGTGATTCTTAAGATATTGTGACTCAGCCAATATTGTGATTCAATTCTGTGATATATTCATATTAATTAAAGGAATTCAGATGTTAAATATATTATGGTCTGCACATTAACCGAAAAAGGTATTCCTTGAACATTCAAGGACAATGTTCCAGGACCTTATTACAGAGAAGACATTATTATTCTCTGAAGGTGAGCTCCCAGCAGATCACTTACATTGTTCAAATACAACAGAGTCACAAAAAGCAGACATGTATAATGTAAATTAGATGTAAATTACCAACATACGAGTAAACTATGAGAAAACACGAAAGTGAAACAGAACATTATTTAATTAAATATTGCAATACTTTGCTCTAATGTATCGATTTTATTACACTGGCAAAATATCGCAATACTGAGCAGGATCAAGTTTTTTCCCTCACCACTAATACCCAAGTCTTACCCTTTCATTTATATATTTAAAACAAAAATCCCTCACATGTTGTTTTTAACGCATCTCAAACAGAGACACTCACGATCCAGAGGAACAAAGAGATTCAAGTTTATTCCTCACTTTCAATATGAAGACTATTTTATTATAGCAAAAAATGGGAAAGAAAAATGCATAATGGTTTAAGAAGAGATCTGAGTAGTGACATGTTTAGCAATAACAATTTGTAATTTTTATAACATAAAACAGTGTATGCTGGAATGTAAAGTAAAGTAAAGGACCTCGGTTGACTGAGAAAATCATCAGAACACATTTTGGGGGCAACACATGTGTTTAAAAAGCTCTGTTTATGATAATGTTATTGATGAGGGAAGGAAAACATATTGAAAGAAGGTTAAAACATATAATTTAAATGACATTTATGCATTATATTTGTCTTTTAAGTATTCCTAGTAAGTAATCTTTGTTTGTATAGTGCATTTCACAAACCAGGGTTTTTCAATGTTGTATTTTCAATTCACTCTACACACAAAAGTGGTAGTAAATCGCACAATTACAAGTCCTTTCGTTACTGGATTTAGTGCTAACCGGAGAACCTGGAAGAAACCTACACTTAAACAGGGAGAAACCCAGGTTCTGCTGGCCGAGAAGTAACTCCAAACACAGAAGTAAAGAGCTAGATAGAAAACCCAGATGGATCACTTGGAGTTTCACCTCCCAGTCAAAGCACACTTCCCGAGACCCTTCACACTTGCATAATACATTAGATTACATGACAATAAACGTATATATCAGCCTATTTGACATGCCGGCCCTTTACATAATCTGTGAATGCACTCATCACGCTACACCGGCCCCATCTGTTCCCTCTGAATCACTGCCTCATTGTATAGTCGCATGTACGGAGGTCTGCCCGAGTCTTTCCGCCCATCTGGGACTCCACAGCAGCCGATCCCGAGGGCAGAGAGGCAGCTACCATCACTGCATTTGTGGCTAACTCAGTTTTTCTATATGCAGCTTTTGGATCTGCAGTTAAACACAATGAGAAAATGTCCACGATTTCTTCCTTAGATTATAAAGGATTTGCAGAGGGGAATGATGCAGCGTGTTTGGAGTTATGGCACCCGTCCAGAGAGAATCCCCATGAATGCAATACGTTGTTGTTTTTTTTATGCTCTCAATATATGTGCTACTGTTTACAAGGCGGGTTAATAGTACTGCATGGTCAGCTGAAGTTGCTCTGTTCAGGCCAATGACATGTCAGATGTCAATAAGTCAATGTCAGATTTATTTGTAAGGCATATTTACAACAACAACAGCTGCCCTAAAGAAAAAAGAAAAAGGTAAGAAGACAGCGATATACTAGAGGGGGGAATTTTGACAGCGCTGCACAGTTAACTACAAAGAGCCCACTATAATCTATTTTTAGATAAATATAGATGTTTGAATTTCGATTATTTGTATTTAGTAATAGATTTTTTTTTTTAGATAGTGTTTTGAATATTGGATACAATGTGGCCATCTCCAGTTTCAGGAGGCAGGTTCTACAATCAACACTGCCCTAACTACCAACCGTATAATAGTTAATTATTTAGTTCAATAGAAACCTTAATCTTACCATGATCAAAACAACCTATTTCAAGCTCGCATGATGCCTCAGAGAGTCTGTCTTTTTTCATCTTAACTTGATCTTATTACCATTTGTTTTATTTCTACAACTGAAGTCCAAATTGAATTCAACAATTCCAGTAAAGCAGCTCTAAAAGCCAGACTTCATCATTATCTATTTGTGTTTGCCATATGAAGGCTATTTAGGGCAGAGATGTGATTTCAGTCATGGTTGATTTGGATTCCCTGATATAAGCGAAAGTAAGTACCTTATATGGGTGTATTAGCATTCAGATATATTTAAAATGAATCCAAAAAGAGGCCTGGGTCATATTTGAACAAAACACATCACACACACATAAAGATAAATGACAGTTGGAAGAGGTCCTATGTAACGAGTAGATAATATGTATGACAGCCTAAAAGTGTTGTTCCCACACAAGCAGCTCTGCCATCGCATGCTACACATACTGGGCAATACAGTTTGGCTGTGATTGGCCAGAGCGCGGGTCACTAGCACCCCAAGCATGTGGAGCAGGGCCAGGGGTATGTCCCAGTGCAGAAGGGGCCTCTCCGACCTCCAAGTGCTCAGGCGAAACCAGGGCTGACATGTACTGTAGGCTGGCCGTGCGCTTTGGCTGGCACGGGTCAAATTGCAAATTGGGATTTAGGGTTCAAGTTTGTAATAGCTCTATCGAGTTGCCATGTCAAAATCATTATGACTTTTCATGCATCTATTATTTGTTTAAACAACGGGTTGTGTGCAATGTTTCCCATAAATATTTGTTTTTAATTGTAAGAGTGAGAGAGAAAAAAAGATAATATAGGCCTTTTTCTTGAAGAAAGCAATTTATTTTATTTTTTTTCTAAGATAGGAGGAATAATATTACAAAAATTAGTTTTTTTGGTTTTTTTTTGTAAAAGTGCCTAAAACCAAGTGGTTGAGGAAACCATTAAAGGGTTAAAAGGCCAGATAATGTATTGTAATTGTCCAGACTAGTATTTTTTAATGAGTAAAGAGCGAGTTTGTCAGAGAATTTTGACAAAAGAACTCCTGAGGAAAATGTATAAATGCACGGGTCTTGAATCCACTGGTACCTCATTAACCTTTCATGGCTTCGCTGTTTCACAGAAATATTTGCGCGCAATTTTGTGTGCTTTTTACAGCGTGCGTCTCATTTGGCACGTGTGTAAATATATAGCATGCTATATAGTAAAACGACTGTGACTTTTGGCCGTGAACAAAAGTGACCTTTATTTAAAGTCAGAATAAAACTTTTGTGGCTTGTGTGCGCCGCAGTTATTAGTTCAGAGGACTACAGCGGTCTTACCGAAGCCCTCAGACTGAGGGCCTCAGTCCTGCTCCTGCCCCTCAGCGCTGTTTACTCTGCAGCTGCATCTTACAGTGTACGCACAGCTTTTGACAGCTGCAACAGCACTCAGACCTACAAGCCCCCTCAGACCCTTTCGCATGGCGCCGTAAAGATGGCGCCGTGGCAAGAGCTCTGGTCCGGGGTAGTCTTGCACAGTTTTTCCAATGTGGTTTTACTGCAAATGGCAAATAAATGAATCTGAATCTGAAGCAACAAGTTTGATCTCTCTAATCGCACTTCAGCAGTAGTGAGTTCAGGTGGTTAGACAAGTGTATAAGGGTGAGGGTTTTACAGCCTTAAACATATTAGCCACTACTACTAGCAAAGTGTGCTTATTGTGGGTTATTTCTAGAACATAACCGTTGCGATAAACGAGGCACCACCGTACATATAATTTCATTCAAAGCACACAAGATTAACTTCTCCAGAGTCAGGTTATTAACATTTACATTTACAAATACAATACGTTTTATTCAATTGTGATCGGTAAAGCTCCTTGTATTACATTTACAGTGAAATGAGCACCATGATAATATTGTCTCAGGAGAAATGTGTATATTCTCTAAGCACAACACGCCTGACCTTCTCTCTGCGCTTAAGTGCCATAACTGGTGCCGATACTATTTCTGTGCACACGGTTTTGTGGTGGAGTGTCGTCATATTCAGCGCTTCTCCAGTTCATACAGCCGCTGTCAGACCTGCAGTAAAACTGACTGATATACTATGTTGGACTATACACTACTGGACACGATTTATTATAGTAGACTTGAGAGAAATGTGTTCAGTCAGTTACCACATTGCCCGGGGTCTTTTTTTTCTATGAAATCCTTACAACACATGGTAAGTCTGAGCTTTGTGCCTTTCCAGATGCACCATGTAACATTTTTCTCCATCAATATTGCTCTGGTAGAAATGTTCCACAGACGTCTTAACAGTAACAAGATCCTGGGTGCCCCTCATGTGTCTGTTGGTTTACTCTAGGGTGCTCCGGTTTCCTCCAGGTGCTCCGGCTTGCTTCCCTTGCTAGTAAAAACCTATGCGGCCAAGACAAAGCTGTCATAGTGTGGACTTTTTGATTATGTTGACCTAGTTTTATTTTGACCTTTTTCCTTTTTTACTGTATTTATTCTCTTGTAGTTTGAGTTTGCTTCCTGTTGATGTGTTTTACCTGTGTCTCTCTGTGTGTATTTATACCCTGTGCTTTTCCCCACCGTTCATTGTCTATACCCTGTTTGTTCCTTGCTTGTTTTCAGTTCCGGATTGTTGGATTTTGGCGTTGGATTTTTGGATTTTTTAAAATTAAATTACACTTTTTTTTCAGTCCTGCATTTTGAGTTCCTTTTTAATTTCACCGCATGACAAAAGCTATCTATGAATTAGATCTCTGGAGAGCCAACCTCATTCACATTTTGAAGAGATTTTCCCTTCTACTCTCTTTCACCCTTCTGTTTGGATGAAGCTGAAGATGAAAACTAGTGGAGCCAAACTGTTTTGAGAATGAGAGCAGCTATTTTACTATATAGCATTTATAAGTGGTTTGATGCACGATTATGTGTACAGTATCTATGCCACCGCTGCCTCTCGCAGAGCCGCTTTCTGCTCCCTTCAGGATGCGCCGTCAGAGCAGCATTGAGCAGTGGTTGCGTTTGCATAAGCACAAGAGGAGAAGAGTGATTTGAGGCGCAGGAGCAATAGAGACATAAAGCGCTCGCACACACACGACTTCGAACGTCTTTTCTAGCCGTGCGTAAATGCAGCCACCTCGAGCAGCAGCTGGCAGGGTGGGCGCACTCTGGCTCCGGGTTTATCAATGGAAAAAAACACTGTAGAGCCGTCTCCATTTGCTTTGGCAAAGGTCATGCATGTATGGCAAAAGACATGGCACAGTTTGAAAAAGCCTAACCTAATGTGTTTGTTTATTGCTATTTTTGTCAAACAATGTATGCATGAATAGCAAAATTCTTAGCTGAACAAATGCAATATTCTAATGAAATCCTCCAAAATGAAGACTAAGCCGTGCAGTAGCCCAGCCTCCCTTTCCGCAAGCCTGCTTCTGGATTGCACACACGCGTAGGAGGACACGCTGCATTTTTGTATATCGCTGTAACCCATACTTCCACTGCCATTCAACCTAAACTCAATCCAGTTCCATTACCAATGCATCCAGAGACACCGACAAACCGCAATTACCCCAACAGCGCACCAGCGACTGTAAGGAGCGCTCTTATCTGCGGCTAACCCCTGCACCTGAACACGGGGGCAGCTTAGCGCGCACCTCCATCTAAGCGCTAGCCTTTATGTGTCTGTGCACATTTGTTGCTACATGAATAATGGATGGAGTCACAAACTGATGGCTGGGCAGATCAAAAGAGACGGCGTAAACACGGAATTGTTTTCATTTGAGTGGACCAGGTAGGACCCAAGAGAAGCCTGAGAGAGCATCCTGCCACGGGACAATCCATCTGCTGGCTAAATATACTCGTGTGATGTCAGAGGCACAGAGGGGAAAGGGATGAGAGTATGAGGGGAAACAGCATGAAAATGGACAGAGTACAAATAGGTCATCTTATCTGCTCCATTGTCTAATGGAAATAAAACAATGGCTCAGCGATAACTCTCTGCAGCTAAATGCAGACAAAACCGAAACACTGGTTATCGCACCTGATGATGCAATTCCGGGGATTAAACAGTACCTGGGTGACTTAGGCCAGTCAGCGAAGCCAAGTCTTCAAAACTTGGGTGTTATCTTTGACAAAGACATGTCATTAGTCCAGCACTGTAAGCAGCTAACAAGGAACTGCTTCTTTCAACTAAGGAACATTTCTAAAATTAGGAATATGGTCGCACGTAATGACTTGGAGCTTATCATTCATGCATTTGTGTCTTCACGCTTAGACTATTGTAATAGTTTGTTTTCATGTCTAAATAAGAAGGAGCTCTCTCGACTGCAACTAGTGCAAAACTCTGCAGCGAGAATTCTGACCCGCACTAACAGGAGGACCCACATATCTCCTATTTTAAAACAACTTCATTGGTTGCCAGTGTCCTATAGGATCACGTTTAAAATTTTGGTTCTAGCTTTCAGAGCCTTGCGTGGTCAAGCTCCTTCTTACCTCAGTTTTCTGATCCAGCCTCACACCCCGGCTCGGGCTCTGAGGTCTATGGATCAAAATCTGCTAAAGGTTCCACGCACTTGTTTTTGTACAAGAGGTGACCGATCCTTCCAGGCTGTTGCTCCCAGGCTTTGGAACGATCTTCCGCCCTCTTTGCGCTCTACTGACTCGGTTGATACTTTTAAAAGCAATCTTAAGACTCATTTATTTGTTCAAGCCTTTAATTAGCTATTTTTGGGCTGATACGATTTCTGTGTTGCTTTGACCCTTTTTATATTGTATTTAATTTCTGTGATGTTTTAACTGTGTTGTGAAGCACTTTGTGGCCTTTGCCTGTGAAAGGTGCAATACAAATAAAGATTACTTACTTACTTACTTACTATCTTGAACGAAGCATGAGATGTAATGTTTACGGAAACATGCATCCGTTGGATTAGCTAATTTAGCTCAAATGAATGGCCTTGTGATTTGACAGACTTTGAAACCCACTTAAGTTTATATAATCTAACTAGTAGGTTTATGGTGAG